CCACCCCCGCCCCCGCCGCGTCCCTTTGGCACGTTCACGGCCGCCCTACACTGGCATCACTTAGCACCGGAAGTGAACGCCACCGCCAGCGCCGCGTGAAGCTCGAGCAGTTGACTCTGTCGGGCACAATGCTGGTCCCCGCCCCGCGGCCCCGCGCCCGCGCACCGAAGGCCAGCCGAAAGGCCCTACTGCCCACAAACGTAGGCGATCGGCGGGGTGGCCGCCGCCCAGCCCGGCCGCCTACCCCTAAATACGCGATTTACGAGTGCAGAGTTCGGCGGCGGGCAAACAATGGAGGTGACCGAGTAAGGGGGAAGCGCAGGGCGGCAAGCGGCGCGGCGCCCGGGGCGGGGGGAGGAGGCTGGCGGGGGTGGGTGCGAGGTGAGGTGAACGCGAACGCCCCGAGAACAGACTGTATGTGGGGTAGCTGGTAGCTGGTGCGGGTTCAGGTGGACTTCGTCCTGAGTAAACTCGTCAGTACCATGAAGGGTGTTCGCCCTCAACAGTGGCAGCGACAGAGCCGCCCGAAGCGAAGGGGGCCGGCGAACGTCCGAGAGACGCCACTCTCGAATCAGGGGCGGAGACAGCGGGGCCGAGGGCGGCACGGCAAAGGCGGGGGCGGGACAGGGCGTTCCCGGCGGCTCCGTCCAAGACCATAGGGGCCTTACAAAGCCGCCCCGGCTGACGGCTGACAGCAGCAACCCGCGCGGCTCCCTGTACTTAGCACCGCAAGGGGCGGTGGGCGGGGGAGCGGCGTGGAGCGGAGGTCGGGGCGGGGGTGCAGGCGGCCGCACGGGGTCCAACCCCGACCCCTCGCCGACACCTCATTGCCATGCATAGCCATAGACCTGCCCCGCGCCCGCCGAGCCTGATTAGAGATAGCGCCAACAAACTGGAAACAGTAATCACTAAAGCCCCAGCCTCCTCCTGACCAGGCCGCCCCGCCCGGCTTCAGCAGCACAGGCCGCCGTCAGGTCCAAACTCACACAGAATTATTTCTTTTGGCCCGCACCACGTGCCTGGCGTGGCCAAACGTACGGCCATAAAACGAAAAAGAATAAGTGATTCGAAGAGGTGCGAGTGCGAGAGAGACAACAGATAGGCGAAAACTATTTGAGCCTCAGCTGTCTCGCTCACTCACTCACTCACGCACCACGAGACATTCCGCGGTATCTCTCGCACAGGTTGAGTGGGCCGCGGCCGGGCCTGGCCGGGCCTCGGGCCTACCTCCCGCCTCCTCCGCGCTGACCAGGTAATTACACCTCAATCAGTTTACCGAGAACCGCAGGAGCGGCGAGGATCAGGATAGCGACGAGGAGAGAAGAGACCCGTGACGTCAACCTCCTCGGCTCGGCTCGGCACGCCCCGCCGTCATGTCATGTGTAGGTAGTGTAGGCCGCCCCTCGGGCCGCCCGTCCCGTACCGCGGGGAGCAGCGTCCCGCGAAGGACGCGGGTGCGGCGCAAAGCTCGCGCTCGCTTTTGGCTTGGCAGCTCATCTCACCGAGAGACAGAGGCCCGGCTCAGCTCGAATGTTGCACCACTCGCAGCAGGAACAACGCTTCTACACCGCCAACAGGGGAGATTGGCCGCGCGTTATTGTGTCTCCCCCGTCACGAGGACGCCGCCGACAGTCGTGCCGGCGCAGACACGGCGCAGACACGGCGCGGGTAGCGCACAGGAAAGGCCGGCCATATCGTGACATTTAACGGCGCGTGTGTGTGTGTATGCACGCTGCCGCCGTAGTGAAGTACTACGCGCGCGCGTCCGGTGTGACGGCGACGTCCAGGGGCGGGAGCAGGGGCAGAGGGGGAGGGGGGCGGAGCGGAAGCAGGGACACACGCGCACCGGAAGTAGCCGGCGGGCGGCTGGAGACGCGGCGGACGACCGTGCGATGGTCGATGGCGTCCTATCCGATGGATGGAAATAACGTCAGCGCGAAGGGGAAGATTGTTGCGGCCGCGGCACTAGTGCGCGTGCGTGCAGGTGCCGCCGAGGACGCGGCGCCGCGCCGCCCGGCCACACGCACCCCACAGCCTCGTGATCGGTGATCGGCGCGCTGCTGCCGCGGGGGGACTTCCCCGTCGCGTCGCTCCAACACTAGCATAGAACCCTGTTGCCTTGCCCCCCGCACGGTCCAATCCGAAACCCATTCATTTACTCACGCCCATTGGAGCGGAGCGTCAGGAGAAGGAAAAGGAGGGGGCAGCCGGAATGAAACTGGGCCATAAAATTTATCAGCAGCGACATGAGCGGCATGTTCATGTACGCGCTGTATTGTGGTGGGGGGGGGGGGGGGGCGAGGCCGTGCCGAAGAGGGGCGGGGTCAGGAGGCCGCCGATGCAACCGAGTGCATGCCAGAGGACGAGATGCAAATAACTCCGCGGCCGCGCTCCCCCTCCCATACGAGGAAGTGCACGGGCGGGCGCGGGGACCTGCTGCCCCTGCTGCCCCTGCGGCCAACGGGGGCAGTCATTCAATTCAACGCACCTCACGGGACACGACGGGCGGGGGCGGGGGCGGCAGGGCGGAGGTAACCCCACGCGTGTCTGTTGGACGTGGTGCGGACAAACGTCGTCCGAGCAGAGTACCTCAGGCGGCAGGCCTTCGGGCCGTTTTTACCCGGCGACGCCGCCGCACCGGACTTTCCGCAATATTGCCGCAACACAAGGCGAACTCGCTCTGCTCGAGTATAATGTCCCGCCTTGTGTCTCGGACTCGGGCCGGGTCCGGCGCCACCGCACCAGCCCGACGGCACTCATTGGCGGCGGCATTCCAGTGCAAACGCGAACGTGCGCTGCGTCACCGGCGTCCTCGGCCGCAGCCTCCTTGACCTGCTGCCGGCGCTGCTGCAGCTGCGGGTCGTCGCCGTCTGCATCGGTGGCTACCTACGTCTAGGATCAGAGCACGTTATCGTACCACCCTACGCCTTCGTACACCGCCCTGCTGTATGTCGTTGCAGAGTGCGTTCATACGTTTCATTGACTTCGTTCCAAGTCTCTTTCAAATGAGGGACTACCCACCCGTGCCGCTGCCGCTATCGGATCACGCGAACTTCCCGGCCTAAACGCAACACAACAAGGACCCCCCCCCCCCTCCCCTCCCCTTAGACTTTCTGAAGAGACCACAATCTGAGAGGCTGCACGCTTGGTGTGTGTAACGGCTACTCCAAACTGCAACACCTTCTGCGATAAGCAAACTTATCCCACGCTTATCTGCCTCCCCCACCCGAACTATACTCGCACATGGTCGCGGCCGGCAAACAGAGCGGCGCCGAGGCCCGAGGCCAGTGGAGCAGAGGCCCCCGCGAGGGGCTGTCAAAGGTCTGCTTCGGTCGGGCCGGAGGACGTCATCGGAGACCACGTGACCGAAGGGTCCGTCGGGCCGGGCCCGTCTCCTCCTGGCCTTCCCCGCAGAGGCCGTGCACCCCGCGCGCCCTGTTAAAAATATTTCTTTACATTTTCATTACATGTTGTGAAGCTATTTTCATTGGATTTTCGTAATGATATTTAATGACGTTTCATTGCGTATTGTGGAATTTCATTAAAATGTTATGAAATTCCAAAATGAGTATTGAAAAAGTTATTAAATATCGTTACGAAACTCTAATAGAAATAGCTTCACAACATGTGACGAAAATGTAATGAAATATTTTTAACAGGGAAAAAAGCATTCCGGTAATGCTAAAATGCAGAATAACGCGGGAAAGAAGAAAACGGAAATCGCTATACTTTAACATGCTGATTTCCGTTTTCTTGTTGCCTGCATTCTTGCATTTCAGCTTTACCGGGATGCTTTATTGTACTCCAGCGCGGCTCCCGCCCCTCATATTGATCGCTCTGGCGGCCCGGCGCTGTGCTGCGGGGTTGGGGGCGTGCAGTGCCTTTGCACTTGCCTGGAGCGGTGGTCACTGGCCTGACCAGTGCGGACCAATACAAGACAGGGAACAGGGAATGTAAAGCTTCCAGCCACAAAGTTCGCGCGGCGCGTTCATGAATGTGAACTACGGAGGGGTGGGGATTGATGCATTGCAATGGTTTTCCTGACTGGAGCGGGGCGGGACGGGGTAACTGCTATCACGGCGTTCGGCTCGCTATCAGCTCGCTTTCAGAGCCGGCGAGAGGCGCGGCGCGTGCGCCGGCTGGGCTCGGCTGGGCTCGGCACGAGGATGACGATGACGCCCTTGTTTACCTAGGCGGCGTGAAAGCCACGAGGCCCCGGCGGCGGGGCGACAGCGCGCGGTTCCTGCCTTTTGACGCACCGCGGCGACACGCGACACGAGCCCGACGGTTTCTTACTGACCTCCTTTACAAATACAAGTCTTTTCTTGCAGTTTGGCAGGGCCAATATGACTCCACGAAGTATAGTGCTCCCCTTCACATGCGGGGAAGTCCCTCCTTGGTCGCCTGCTCGCTCCAACCATGCATCGCTACACGGACGTTTGTAACGCGCGCCGGCGGCGGGAGCGCCCGACGACCCACTTCCAGCGCGTGTCCCGTGCATTGGGCAGTTCAAAGTCAATGCCGCGCCCGTGGGGTGATGAGCGTTGATGTTTCCACTCGTGCCACCGCTACTACGGGTCGCACCCGCGCCAGCCTGCCGCGGCCGCTGCTGTCTTTGCCGCTGACGTCTGCCCAATGAAGTGTCGCGGTAAAGTCGGACGCGGTCGTCACGTTGCCGACGGCAGCCTCCTCCGCCGTGACGGCGGCCCGGCCCGGCCCGGCCCCGAGCGGCCCCCGAGGGAGTCACCTGACGCCGCAGTTTCCCCCGCGGCCCTGCCTGCCTGCAGCAAGGTACGGCAGTACGGGACGCGTACCTCACTGTCTCTGGTTTCACCATCCATACGAGGCCGCCGTAGCTTGCTGGCCGCTGCTGCTGAGTTCCCCGTCCTGCAGCCTGGGGCTGACCCGGGTCGCCGGGTGGCAAGGGGAGGCAGTAGGCAGTGTACGTCACGCATCTCAGGGGCGTAACGTTACATCTTTCTTTAAGTTGAATGACATAGGCGATAACACCCCTTCCCATTCTCCCCCAGTGCCGTTAGTGCCGTCATAAACCGTGAAATAAAGGGTGGTGTCCGTCACAGTCGCAGGGCGGGAATAGGGTACATCTACGACTCCAGTGTTGTGTCGAAGGCCAACTAAGGGCGTAGCTCGGTTTGCGGCCTATAGTCTGTGGTCACGCACCACCGGCGCACTGACCCCGCGGCCAAGCCCGCGGCACTCGTGGCGCCGGCGCCGCACGCCACGGCATGCCAAGCTCTCCTGTACCGACACGACACCCACACAGAACGCCGACTAGACTTCTCATTCCAGAAAAGTCGCGTGATGTTCCCCCTCCTCTACCGCCACCCCTTCCCCGGGGGTGGCGACGTTCCCTGCATTATTACCTCCCCCCCCCCCTAAACCTCTCGTTAACATTTGCACAATTGGCTACGCCGCACACGAGCGAGGGAAAATGCCCCTAATATAGGCGCAATCCGTTCTTTCCCAGCAATCGCCGGCGTTCAAAACACCCCCCCCCCCCCCCCACCTTGTCCATTTTTCCTATTCTAAGGGGGGGGGGGGGCAATATGGAGGCAGGTGGCAGGCCCAGGAAGGGAATCATACGTGCGGACACTCGCCGTGACAGGGCTGCCCCAGGTACCCCGCCCCCGCCATAGGTGCGGGAGGTATCAGCCCAGCCCAGTCCAAGGACATGATGACAACTCACCGAGTCAAGAGCTTGAGGAAACACCCGAAGCCCCGGCAAGTTGCGACCTCGGCCGTGTACGTCACCGTCATGCTGTCTGCTGTTCCTCACTTATGTCAATCACGAATGTCGCAGGCACCGGTGGCTTTGCACAGTCCCTCCTCCCGGTCAGTCAATCACTGCACTTTCGGCGACACCAGCGCCAGCAGACGGCGGCCGGTGGTCATCCTGTCGTCTGCTGCCGGAGCGCCGGCTCGCCACGCCACGAGTGTCAACAAACGCAGCTGGAAAAGGGGTGGCGAAGCGGGGGAGGGGGGGGGGGCGTTGACACCACGTGCACCGAAACGACACTGCCGCGGGCGCCGCGACGCCTGGCGCCAATCCTCCCCCGCGAGGGCCGCGAGTCGGTCGCGGAGAGGTCCGCGGGGACAGCCTGCGGCGGGGCCCAGGCGTCGACTGAGGAGGGCGCGGCGGGCGCGGCGCGGCGCTGCGCAGCCAAAGCCGCTCGGCTCAACTGCTCAACTCGGCGCGACTCCACGCCCCAGCCAAAACGCAGCGCGGCGCCACGCCACGCGCCAGCTGCCGTCGCGACGGCGGGTGGCGGGTTAGGGGGGAAATGAAGGGGGGGGGGGGCGTCGCGATGAGCCAAACGCGCCCGCAGGACCAGGACCAGGACCTCGCTGGAAGCGCAAATCAGCAAGACGAAATAACAAGTGGATCCATACGGTGTGCCACTGCCCCTCCCTCGCTCTCTGCCGTCTTCCAGTGGATGCGGCTATCTCGTGGTACTGTCGATCTTTCCCCTTGTTTCATGCACTTGCCTACGTGAACAAACAAAGCCTGAAAGTTAAAAATGTTTACCGTGGCTTCGCATTGCAAGTGAGCGCCAAAAATGGTGTGAACGCTTAATTTCTCATTATGTTTGGGGCCAAATGTCCGAAACCTAGTTCAGTTCTGTACATGATGGCGCTTTTACTGGACCCACCAACACAAGATTTTGGAACCAGTGTCGAAGCTTCCATCCCTTATTTAGCCTCATATCGAAATCCAATGAACTTTACTGGCTGTTAACTTTCTTATCTACCGTTCGGATGACAGTTCTGAGTTTGTTATTTAGGTTAAATGAATTTTTCATATTACGTTCAACTGTACTGAAGTTCTGATTTGTCTTCGTCTTCAGAGATGCTCAGCTGTTGGATTTTCATAAAAAGATTTCTGCAAGGCAAGCATGTTTTGTCAAACATTGTCAACATTCATTTGAAGGTGGATCACAGTTTTTTCCCATTTGCACGGGGAAAATCTGATTTTGTTAAGTGTTGAGTGATGACCGTGGTGTTCAAAAGTTTTAGAATGGTGCCTCAGTGATTGGTAAGGCTTTTGGATGACCGTGACTGCACGAAATAGGTCTGCTGGATTTCGACGTAGTACTTCTCACATTCACACAATTCACAATTATTTATCCCAATGTATGCAAGTTCGACCAGAGAGGTTGTTGTTTCCATAACTTTGCAAAACGTATGAATGTGGATGAGGAATCTTTGGGCTGTGCATCTTTTGCAAAATGTGGAAATGAGTTTCAAGGTCCAATTGTTTTGGTTGTCATTTAACCCATTGGTTCTGGCATGCTTTGTTTTGGTTGTATTTTTTTTTCACTTGTGCATTCCTGTAGGTTGTGTTTATGTTATAAATTCTTATTTTATTTTAAACAACTGCTAATCTCGTCTTAAGAGCATAATCATTGTCTAATAACACATTATGGATATCAAATCAAAAGTATTATCTAACCATCTTTTTTTCCTTGATTACTTCCGTGTTTGTGATTTTATTTTTTTTCCAGATAATGTGATAAGGATCTAGAAAAGTCACAATGTTTTCAACTGTAAGTGTCCCTTTCCAACTCTTTCTTTCTATTCTACTTGGTAAGTTAACATTCAGTGTAAGTTTTAGATTGACCAATATGCCCTGCAAAACTCTTCTAATTTATATGTTTTTCAGCATTTGTAAACAGTGGGTTTGCATCAACATGCAACGGCATCTTGAAAAATTGGGAGGGTACAATCAACAGCCCTAATTACCCTCAACCATACCCTAACTCTACAAGCTGCACATGGTATCTGTTCCCACCTGCAGACCATGTTCAGTCCCTAACTATTGTGTAAGTTACCTTAAATCTAAACTGTATTGTTTCCTCTAACTTTGGAAAATTTATCTGACACTTGTGTGACAAATTTTAGTATTCAAGATCTGGAAATGGAACAAGGCTTGAAATGCCTCATGGAAACTTTTGGCCCATGTTGCACTCATAGCTGGCTCTCAGTTCCATTTAATGAATTGGGACGTCCCACGACAAACCAGCAGCTTTGTGGCCACAATGAAACAATAAGACAACGGGTATTTACTGTCACTAATCCTGGGAAAAGTGTCCATATAAAATTCCACTCTGTTGGAAATCATTTTTCAAGACGTGGCTTCCAGCTTCACTATACTTTTAGTAAGTTTAAATAACTGAACCCTCCGTTTTGTGTTGTTCCTCTTCAGCTATTTAACTTTTACTACTCCCTTAGGCCCAAGAATTGGATGTGCAGAAGGTCAAATTAGATGTGATAATGGAAAGTGTGTACTTCCAATGTGGCGTTGTGATGGGATAGCACAATGTCAAGATGGTGCTGATGAAGTCAACTGCCCCAAGAGCCACTGTCGCAATCCGCATGATGTGGAGTGTGGTCCATTAGACTTTGGTTGTTTCAACAACCATACCCAAAGGTGTGATGGTCACCGTGATTGTCGTTTGTCAGGCTTAGATGAAGATGGCTGTCGAGAGTGCAGCAAAGGGTCGTTGCCTTGTTACACTCGTGGATGTTATCTAGTATCTCAGACTTGTGATGGTGTTCCTGATTGCCGAGACTTCACAGATGAAGCAGATTGTGGTATGTAGTGTAATTTGTAAATCTAATCTCCAGGAATTGCCACAAATAACGAGCAACAATGAAATCTAAACAATGCTTGTGACTTTCCTCAGGTGTTTGTCCTGATGGGCAGGTTGAATGTGGCTCTCAAGCAGGGAAATGTTATTCTCCTTATTTGGACCGTTGTAATGGTCAATTGGATTGCCCTCTTGGGGAAGATGAAATGGATTGTGGTAAGATTTTTTATCCTAGTGTTGTTTTCTATTTGCCAAACACTCTATTTATCTCTCATTTTTTCTGTTTCAGAGCCCAATTGTAAAGATGCTATTGCTTGTACCAATGGACGAGGTTGTTACCGTCCATCTGAACGATGCAATTATGTTGAGGATTGTGATGATGGGTCAGACGAAATGCATTGCAAACATGACTTTACCATCCGAGACACATTTGGGTGTGGCTCAGGAGGCACAATAGCCGAAAGATTGTGGTGTGATGGTGTGGATGACTGTGGTGACGGCAGTGATGAACAGGGTTGTATTCGGGTAGGTTTTTCATGCTATTGTATTTTGATGTAGTCTTTATTCTTTATCTCCTATTATTTTAATCATTTTTGTTTTGTTTTGTTTGTACAACAGAATTCTGTTATTACTGCTGCAATCATGGGTTCCTTATTGTGCGGTCTTCTTTTGGTTATTGCTGTTGGATGCACTTGTCGACTTTATAGCCTGAGCCTCAAAGGCATTGGGAGTGGAAGCAGTGCCAGCAACTCACAACATCAAAGTACTTCAGCTGCCTCACAAACAGGATCTGGCTCATCAAGGTTGGTTACCTCAGTTGAATCCATAATTAATTCAACAATTCTGAAACAAACTCACCTTTTTTGTAAGCGGGATCTTATCAAGGATATCATTTATTTGAATTTTATTTTTGTTCTAAAGGTCTTGTGCACTTCCACCAATGTCAACCTTCCCTGGTGATGAAGAATTCTATTTCCGTGAGCCACCTCCAGCCTACTCTGTTGCTATTGGAGAAGCTCCGCCTCCTGCCTGTGTCTACCCATTTTCTATAAACTCTATAAATCCTAATGGTACTCAGCCAAGAGTACACAATGGTAAGCATTTAAATGGATTTAACTGCATGCATTACTTAAGGCATTATGTTTTTGGGATCTTTAAAACGTTTCATCAACATTTGTAGGCCTCGACCGCAGTCGAAGATCTCGGCGACACGGGTCTAGTCGCCGCAGCAGCCCTCGAGTGTCAGGACCACCCCAGCTACCTCCAGACCTCCCCCCACTTCCACCCTATTCACCAGCCCCACAAAGTGCTTTGCCCCCATACAGTCCAACAGCAGTAGAGCAGTCAGAAGCTCCTCAATCATCAACCTCAACTCCCCAATTTGCTGCTCCACCTACAGTCAAGGTTCGTTAAGTTCCTGTTTCTAATGCTAGATCTCTCTCCCCCCCTCACTTTCTAATATACGACATTGACATTTTCATGTTCCCGGTCTACAGGTAATGGAGTCACTTTTGCGGGCAATCAACAATGAAAGTGAAACTGTGTCTGAAGAGGCAGGGTCAGATGTGGCAGCTCTTGTGGAAACACCCCCGGCGTCACCATCACCATCACCATCACCTTCTATGTCTTCAAGCCAAGAGAGCATAGCATAAGTTTTCCCTAGTCATCCAAACCAGTGCATGCTGGTATTTTTGAGGTTGTTGATATGTTTTCTATGAGAAAAGCCAAAAGTCTTTTTTGGCTTGTGAACTACAATTCTAATGTTCACACATGCTTTTGGATTAGAGGAAAATGGTATTGAACCCACTGTGAAGTGTAGGAGAATCAATTCTTTGAAACATTTTAGAGCCTACATGATAAAATACTCCTAGCATTTTATGATCACAAGAAGAGTTCTAAATCAGAGAGTAGTGTGAATTGTGTGGGTTTTAATTAATACATCACTTTGTTGCCATTAGAATCTTATTTTGTGTTTATGCTTAATTTTATTTCTTGTTATATTTTACCCATTGTAAAAATGCCTCAATGTTCCTGGCAAGTTACCATATTATTTACAGTATGTCTTGAATTAATGCTCTTGGAGGTTAGAAGAAAGCAAGGATTGTACTAATAAGAAAGTAGCCGATTTCCCTTAGAAGCTCCACAACCCTTACTCCTTTTAATCCTTTTGTTTTAATTTTTTTGTTTCTGTCTTATGGTTTATGTGCTTAGTGCTATGAATTTGTCTACACTGTATCTTACTTAATCATTATCTCACAAGTTTCTTTTCCACCATACCTCATAACTTATGGTATGCAAAAATGACTGTCACGTGAGATTTAGACCGTCCTTATTATTTTCTTTTGACCAATCAATCTCAATTTTATGATTGTGCATGCTACTATTTGAGAAATGAAATATCAATGCAGCAACGTATATTTGTTAAACTACATATTTTTTTGTAAATTGTATTGTTTGTAAGGTGTGCTTAAAGTCTCCCTTCTGAATCACTGATAGTCTTTTTATGTTTTTCAATTATTATTTGTCTATTACTTTTAAAATATATCTTTTACTGACT